ATTTTACGTTAGTTTTGATGCAAAAACGCATGATCGCACCGGCTCGCCTGGTGCGTTCCAGCCTTTGTTTTATTATTATTACTATTCCATTACTGTTTCTATCATTATTAGTGTCTATTTAAGATAGAAATAATGATGAAATAGTAATAATGATCTTGATGATATGAAAACAAGCCGGATGCACTTGTGTTAAATTCGTCGATCCTTAGCTACACATCTTCAGTTAGAGCTTGTCCGATGAACCGGCGTCATCTTCTAGCTGACCGCCAGAGTGGCAATTTCTTTTCTAGCGAGCACCACTCACCAGTACGCAACGTCCATCAGCTGTCTGTAAGGCTTGTAACGTGGGTGAATAATTACTGAAGAAAAATGTGCACGAAATGCTTGCTGCGGCTGATTCTTTAATGCACTCCGCTCTTTTTTGGTAGCGTTGCAAAAGATGTTCGCCGGCTGTTAGGAATCGAACATGTCATCTTCCGCAACACAATAATCACCTTATTGTGCGAATGTATTGATTTATGAAGTACATCTCATCAAAAGAACTTTGTTCGAAAACTTTTTTTTCCACTTTCTTATCAACTGCTCCATGAACGGTTCGTGGCAGTGCCCCAGCATGTGTTCATAAGCAGCATTCCCCATCTTCCTCAATTTGTTTCAGTCCTTTTTTCATTGTTACTGCCATTCTTGTTGTTACTGTCCCCTTCATCATCATCATCATCATTATCACCATTAGCACTTCAGACACTATGATCAAATTCACTATCAGCATCATCACTTCACATAAATATCATTACTGTCGTCGGCGCAGTCGTCGGTCTGTGGCGATAGAAAAGTAATGTTGCCCTGCGCCATCTGCTGCATCGTGAGCAATTTCACTTCAAAACAGCAGCGAAAAAGAATAGTCCTTTTATTTTGCCTTTTACGAAATAATGCTTTTTTTAACTTATAGTATTTTTTGCAAACATTGAAATTCAGTCAGGGATTCTGAGTTTTTGCAAGACCAAACAGTAGCCATTATTTTTTCTAGAGGCATACTCAGGATATTTAACTTTTATACCTTAGGATTAGTTTCACTGTTAACTAATACCTGTTCTTTGAACAGCCTTTATAATTATGCTTAAATTCAATGAATAATTCAGCATCTAGTCAATATCAACCAAGACGGCTCTGCCCAGTAACCTCACCCCATTTCTTATTTTTACCGCCTCCCCATCCAGTACATTATCAGTCAGTTTCATTTTTCACTTTCCCCTTTCACCAGCAGCAAACAAGATATGTATTTATCTGAACTGTTTTGGCAACTGTGATTGAAAAGAGAAGCAAAGGAACAGAGTTGATTTCTCCCATGTTGTACTGACATTCTGTGCTATAACTTTTAGCATTTTAATCCGCTTTACACTGTTATTGCGGCACAAAAACCCACTAGAAGGAAGTGATGCTTACGTTTGTTTGCTGTCTGGCTGAGGCCGAAGAGTTATTATCAACTCCGGAACTAGTAAAGCTGATAAGAAATAATTTTATGAACATAAATTGTAATAGCTTTCAAAGTCTTGTATTTGAAATCAAGTTTCAGTTATCTGCAAGGCATCTCAAACGTTGACCTCAAGTTCAAATCCAGACAGATTTTGTGATTTAAACTAAGGAAACTATATCTTCGAAATTTTAACAAGTTTTTTTAACTGCTTTCTATAAAGCCAAATTCTAAAAATCATTTTTTTATGTTCCCTTCTCTCCTGCCCTTAAATCTCAGATCTATGTTCAGGTTGATTTTAACTCAAAAACGAAAAACTTACAAGCTTAAAACTTTGGTAATAAATTTATAATGCGTAAACTTACAAATCTGTAACAAATTCATATTTCTTCCCGCGCTAAGTTGTATGGCCTCAGTCCTAAATTCATGTTAATTTTATAACAAACAGAATATAAACTCAAAATTTTAAGAGTTTACATTGCGTATTAATAAGTCATGATATTGCTTCGACTTTTTGGTTTCTAACTTATTTTTTGAACTTAAGTGCAATTCCCGCAGAGCTTTGAAGACGAGGTGCAACATAAGTGATAACTCTGCTATACCTCCTATATTTTGTCTGGAATATTCAACACTTTATGCTGATAGCTAAGAAAGAACGGTCGCGAAAGACTAGGCCAATTCCGTCTTTTATGTGTTTTTTATGAAAACTTACAGTTATGTTGTTAAT